CCATGCCGTAGTCGGTCGACTCGAAGATGAGCACATCTGGTACTTGCTCTCTCGTGGTGAACGACCTTCTTGACCTTGAGAGTCATGGCCTGGCCGGGCCACATGTTGGAGATCTCACGGAACCATCCATCTGATGCTAGTCAGCCTCTGTGCGTTGCGATGGTGTTATCTTGTGGTGCTCGGGTTGGATGAGTGGGAAGGGATCGGTTGAGGATTGGTTGTAGGTGAAGTGTGAAGTGGGGGTGGTGCTTCGCGGATGGCGGGGTAAAAATATCAAGACATTCTGCCCCTCATTTGTATCGAGCTCTGTGAGAGACCCAGGCAGGTGCTCCCCTCCCCCCTCCCCCCGTGGCATTGCAATCCCGGAGCCAGTCTGGTTGCGTCTGAGCATCCGATGGCGCGCCGTGCGATTTTCAAAGAGCAGGAAGTGACAAGTGACGCGATTGAAGACCTCGTCATGAAAGATCAAAGGATGCGGATGGGGTCCAACCAACCTTGGATAGTGGGATGGGCGATTTCGCTCATGGTTGCGACGTGTCTGCAAAAGCTGGGAAGGCGTGGGTGCAAATTTGTGGTAAGGCGGGGGTGCCAAAGGATGGAGTTGCGCAAGAAGAGATGACGGAACGCCAGTGTCTTGTGGTGTTGATTTTTTTGTTGAAGTTCGGGTATCAACAGTGCAATGTCGTCACTCGTGAACGGAAAAAGTAGGCCAGGGTGCGGTCAGCGAGGTTTATAAACGCTGGAGAAAATTTTTCTGGATCCAACCCAACCCAACCCAACCCACGACCACGACCACGGGCTGCTGGCGGTCAGAACCTGCTCTGAGCGACTCGATACCAACAAGCCAGAACCCACTCGCTCGCTGCTCAATCTCTAGCTATTCGTGTCTGCTGGGCCTTGTTTTGGGCATCACTGCCTGCCTGTCACCCAGATCAGCGATCCGTCGCAAAGGGCCAAAAGATAGGCCATGGTCCAAATTGGCAATTTTTCGAGACCATTGCATCCCCTTTAACTTACAAAGGACTGCATGACCAACAAGATGGCAGCAGTGGTAACGCGCGCCAGCTTGGCCGACTGACTGATGGACAGAACCCATCAGACCCCCATCAGACCCCCCCGCAGCCGGACCAGACGCCAGCCATCTGTCGGACACAAAAGGCAGCCAAGCGTATGGACCAGAAGGCGGCCAAGGGTATGGACGACAGGGGGCGGCTCACGCCCAGCGGGTGGAGCTTGACGGCTCACAGCTGTGTGTGTGTGTGTGTGTGAGAGAGAGAGAGAGAGAGACAGAGAGAGAGAGACAGAGAGAGACAGGAGCAATGCCAAACGAGAACTGCATCGAATGGGGGCAATGGGCCTGCGAACAAGCATACGCAATGCACAACACTCGGCATTGCTTCTTGCCATCAAATGCACCAGCCTTCTGATCTTCCTTTCTGATCTTCCTCAGTCGAGCTCGAGTGCCCGACGGTTGCATCCTCAGATCTGGGTCCTGTTGCCAAAGTGGGAAACCTTCAGTCGTGACACTGGCAAGACATGTTGTCTGGTTGCGGTCAGGCTCCTGAGAGGGGGGGGGGCTCTGGGGCTCAAGAGCGTTCCGACACGCGATGACACCTTGAGAAGATTCAAAGCCGCAGATCCAATTTCCCCTGCATCTTGACCATAACGCCCATATTGGTCTTCATGGCGACCTTGCCCTGGTCATTCTGCTCATCCGTCTCTGTATCGTCGCAGTTGTCTATTTCGCTTGACTTCTCTGTGGCGTCCTCATGGCTTTCTCAGCTGGGCGTCTTGCGGTCTGTGGAAAAGAAGAAAAAAAGCAAAACTTCTTGGCAACCTGCCGGTGTCTGCCCACCCATGCCGAATCGATGATCATGTGGAAAGGTTCCCCGTTACCAGTCGTCCACGCTAACACGACAGGCTTCCCACCGATGAAACACCTGGCGGGTCGTCTGGCCACAAGCGTCTTTCACTGGGGGCAAGCCCGGCAGTTCAGGGAAGTTCCCTACTCATCTAACAGACGTTGTGCGACGGTTTACCAACTATCGCATCTGCTGGCGTTGCTGGTCTGGGTCTCGATCATATCAGGCAAGGGGAGTGCGGCTTTAGACCCTCCAAAAAAGCACAGCCCCTACAGCCATGCTGAGATACATGGTATGACTGTTGCTTCGATCGAGCACAGCATTGGACGGAAGTCAGTGCTCAGACGTCTCCCCCCCCCTTCTCAAGAACCCAAAAGTGTACCCTGCATTGTGACATGATCAGAGGACGGGATGAGATGCCGGCCGTGTACATGGTCGATGCTGTCCCACACACGAGCCTGTGAGCTTGTGAGCCTGAAGGCCCCTTCAGTTTGCCTTTGCCGCATCCCTGCTCGCCATGCGCCGCGCGCCCAAGGAGGGTTGTGGTCGTGCTTGGCCTCCCTCCCCTTTCCCATATCATCCAACAAAAAAGGGAGCATATCCACTTTACCGGATCCGACGGCGACGGTGCATTGGTTGCCTTTCATGATGTGGTGTCGAAACGTCGAGATAGGTACGCTAGGACAGTCCATTGCGCGTCTCGAGGCCGCGGGGTCGGGGATAGGCACGAACGGACTTTTGACGGGGAAACCATAATGATCATGCCAGAAAGCAACATGAGACCAGCTGGTCCTCCTCTAGGTAAGGTAGGATCATCCAACAGTCCAGATCGTAGGAGGTGCGTAATGTACACCTGCGGAACCCTGGCAGGCCTTCCGCCATGTGCGCCCACATGCGCGCCTCCTCGACCTAGTGCTTGTGCTAGGTTCCATTCGTAGGTACTTGGTACTTGTACATGACATGGTACAGTAGGTTGGTCGGGCATGTTCGCGGCTGGGGGGCTGGGTAGTGAAGACCATTGGGAGGATTGAACTCTGAACGCAAATCCTGGAACAAGCCCGCTAGGAGTTCGGACTTGAGGGCTTTGGGTTCACATGGCAGTGGTTTACACTCGAGACAGGACAAGGACAGCGCGACGGAGAAACGTCAGGGCGCGTGCGCCGACACCAGTACCAAGAACGTGCTAGAGACGGCCCTACTTCAGGGTGAGCAAGAACTTGTCTCGGACTTGAGAGGCAAATGGGCAAGAAAGACGGGTGGCCAACAGCGACTGCCCCTGTCGAGGGGCCATGCGAGCCCGTCCGGTGGGTTGAGATTCTTCAGCGGGTACTTCCCACTGTTTCTGCCTTCCCATGTGCCCCGAAGTACCTACCTTACCTGCCCTGCCCTGCCCTGCCTGCCTGCCTGCCTGCCTGCCTGCCTGCCTGCCTGCCTGCCTGCCTGCCTGCCTGCCTGCCTCCCTGCCTCCCTGCCTGCCTGCCTGCCTCCTGGCCTGGTTCCTGCGTCTCCGTCTCCACTTTCCCACGCCGAGGTGGTACCTGACGGCTTGTCTTCCGGGTTGCTTTCCCACTGCTTCCGGCGAGCGACAGTGTGTGAGAGTGTGAGTGTGGAGGAGAGAAGCTGCCAATTCCCCAAATCGCGCTCACTGGTACTGTACCTGTACTCCTGGCCGGCCGCCGGCCGCACTCGTGCTTGGTTGCTTGGGATTTGTCCCCAAATCCCCAAGCCCACCACCACCACCACCACCACCTCCACCACCGTGCTCTTTCGCCCGCCTCTGGCTCCTTCTCTTCTTTCCTGCCAGCCGTCCTCGATTGTTCTTCCCCCCCCCCTTTCCCACGCAGCATCTTCGACGATATTGTCGGCCCGCCTTCCAACCCTCCGCAACGCTCATTGATTGCATCGCCCATACGATCCATCATCCTCCCTTGTGCACCATACGAACCCTCTCGGGCTTGTCAGGCTATTTAGATACCGGCATCTCATCCCCGTCCGTCACAACCCTAGGTCTTCGCGCCAATCGCCTGCTGCAGTCGACTACAAAGCTTCTCTCCCCTCGTCTTGACACGCCTGCTTCTACTGCCTGCGCAAGAAGCCAAGCACAATCGAGCCACCAATAACCACACCTTGGACGCCGTGTCGACGCTTTGTCGAGTCGGTTTGACGTCCCCACCCCTTCTGACTGGCTTCGAGCCTACATCACATTCGAATCTTTCGTCTCCACCTGGGCGCACCCTCGACTGGAGCCGTCGACTGAACTCACCCTGCCAGCTATCACGCCTACCCTCGAGGTAGATCTGACAAGATGTGTTTCGGGAGTAGAGAGAAGGACAACAGCGGTGCAGCGCGCACAAGGGAGATCGACCGTGTTATTCGGCAAGACGAGAAGCGCATGGCGAAGGAAGTCAAGCTGCTCCTTCTTGGTACGTCGAGCCTATTCTCGTTCAACGAGGGTCGCGGAGCGC